TTCGCTATCGAGGCCACGCTGAGACGAGGCTCGTCCGATTGTATCGAAATTCCATTCGGTGCTGTTGTTCTGTGAGTGGCAAAAAACGACCATCATGCAACAACGAGAAAAATCTGTGCTGGGATGGAAATACGGTCTGGACCTCTTCACTATCATTTTCAGTGAACGCGAAAGACTGAAAAATGACTAAGCAAACGCACGTTGTGTCACGTTTCAGTGCAGAAGCTAAATGGAAGAATGCTGATCCACTGTGAAAACGTGCACCGTGATGTTGTTGCAATTGGATGCGCGTAACTGAAAATAATCTAGTTTGTATGTCGATTGTAAAAAGTTCAGTAGCCTCGGTGGGATTCGAGCCCATGAATGGACGCCGCCTACGCTTTGTACGCGCACGCTCTACCAGCTGAGCTACGAGGCCACACCGATAGCATTTTTTCACATTCCAATTTGCTCATCCAACTTACACAGAGAGGCATGTGGCATCCACCAGTTAGCATGTAAGCTGACTGCACTCATCCAACTTACAGAGAGAGGCATGTGGCATCCACCAGTTAGCATGTAAGCTCAAATTCGAATTTACCCATCCAACTAACAGAGGCATGTGGCATTCACCAGTTAGCATGTAAGTTGACTGCCCCGACAGGTTTTTCTTAGAATTCACCGGACTCCACCGAATGAGACAAGGTCAATTGTTCAAGGCTACATACAAACTTCCAATCTGCCAAACAATTGGAACAATCTAGTTTATGGCCTAATGAGAAATCTCACTTCGGACAATCTGAATGCAGAATCTCCTTTCCCTTTCCAACTACACCAAAGATACATGTGTATAATATTGGTAATGTTGGATATAAGCAGAAATAAACCTGTCTTATGACAATCAACGGTTTGGGAAAGGTACTACTGCAATAAAACTGGCATAGTTCAATCAAAGTGGTTTCCTGACCTATTTCATCATGCTATGGATAACCGATCTCACACATGCAAGTAATGTAACGATCTAAGTGGAGGACCGATGAGATTACGATTCACTGAATTGCACTGGTATAAACGAACCCGGTCACATACATATACTAAGATCAAGCAGTTTTCCGAATTCGTGAACCAATACTGTTTTACAAGCCGGGATCAACTTGTTAGGTTGTTTTAGAGAGAACTGCTGTGTGTATTGTGTACAAGGTGCGTGACACAACACGCGTAAGCTACGTACACCGAAAAGGAAAAAAAACGGATATAAGTAGAGTATGTAGCTAGTTGTTGGAGTAAATCAGACCAATTGCATGTACCGTTAGGATTTCAAGCGGTCCTCAACCTAGACAGTTATAAGGACGAGAAAACAAATAGTCGCCGCGGTCAATACATAAACAGCGGATCAGTGGAAGAAAAACAATGGGATAGAACGATCGCTGATTGATCTTTTTTAATTACACACCTCAGTGTGATGAACAGCAGACGGAGCGAACCCCAGAGCCACGATGACCTGCTGCTGTTCAGTGGTGGAAACCAGTAACCTAGGCCCCGGGACTTGGAGTGGCAAACCACATAAGGTCCCGGTAGGTTAGGCGTGGTATGGAACCGGACGATAGCAAAACCGTCCACCACCAAAGTTAGGTGGTGGTGGTGGGGTCCGAACCTCGGACCATTGGAGTCCAGANTAAAAGCCGTGATAGACAACTTTCACTAAGATGACATGAAAGAGTTCAGATAACTGAACCCTAGTAGCGGTTCGGTTATTTCCGGCAACAAGAGAAAAGCGATCAATCGCCCACACCTTTCAAAATATCATGATACTATTGAAAACGAATGCTGACCAAATTATGTGTGGAAGAAAACCAGTTGCAGCGTGAGTGATGATCGGTTATCTCCAAAATGTCTAACAACTACAAAGAGATCTAAGCACACTTCGTGACACTGTGTCTCGTGAAAAAACATGCCAAGCTATGAGTCGAAATGGTTTGTTTGAAGCTGAGCACACGGCTATCCACGAAGATCAAGATCATGTGTGAGTATGGTGGAAAACCCGGGTACCAAAGTAGTGCGAATACGGTCCGTGTTTCAAATTGAACTAATCACCAATATATTGTATTGAGTAAGAGAAACATTTCAGATAATCACTCCGAACCTACAATTTAAGAGTGCTACAATGTCACCCCCACCCCCACCCTCTAGATTTCTGAATAACCTCACGCACAGATTCACGAGTCGTGAAAATTCATCCCAATTCAGCACAACTTGATCGGTTTCCTTTCTCCTGACTGACACTGTTCAACACCACGCGTTTCTGAATAAACAACGGATGTTCTTAGCGAGATTCGGAATCAAAAGAGCGAACAGATGCCCGCCATTCGCCAATGGCCATGACAGACCTGCTCATCTTGGCTTGCCAAGCTTAATTTGGTCTGCAGCTGGTTGCTTGTGCACAATTTGTTACAGCTCAAATGGGAATAAAAACAAACGGACCACGAGTGACACACCGTGTCATCGCGATACGACTATTCCGACGACGACGCGGAGGAGGCGTCCGTGATTATAAGAATGCCCCCGCATCCATATGTTTGGAATGCAAGGAGTGATCTGAAAAAAAATCGTTCGAGTTGGAAAATGGATGGGGAGGATCGATATAAGAAAATACGTTTGTGCTGACAGGTGGCGAGTATTGATTAGACTGTGTGATTCGACAGAATGCAAATCTACCTTTGGATCACGTCGTTCGGCACGATCGTCTGCGTGTTTGCTCATACGCGTCGCCGGCGGAGGAATTTCGCCACCAAGAAGCACTCGACAGAGCAGTTCACGATCCTGTAGGGGAAAAAAGGATCATTTAGCTCAGCTTCAAACATACCAGAGGCTCAACAATGAGACGGAAAGGAAACGAGCTTTACATAAAAAGTGCACTAGATCTTTTGACAAATGACAAGGGCAGAGTGATAAACATTGTTTAGTTAAATGTGTACAACGAACTGCAAAAAGTAAAACCAAGTTCATTGGCCCGGAGAATCGAAAAATGGTAGGAAATAGGTGACAAACTGCAAATAAGGCTACTGTAATCAATTTCCGAATAAGACTTCGCCCAGGAGAATGAATCTAATTCAGATGATGTTCAAAATAACGTATGATTTGTTTAGTCCCCCCCCCACCGACAGGCATTACTAAAATGTACAGTATAGACAGAATAATCGGTACGACAATAATAATAATAATAATTTTGCTTTCGTTCATTTTAAGTATGGCGAACGTACAATCTAGTATGAAGATCACGTCCGAATGAGAACCATCAAACAAGTAGAGCAATGGTGGAGCTCGAAATTATTACATAGGACAATATGGCAAGTGGACAGTGTGAACAATTAAACCACCGCGGTCATGCCGACTGAATCGTACCTGTGAGCGGATTAATCAAGTAGCGACCACAGATATCTCAAAACGAACAATCATATAGATAATGCAGGAATTCGTTAACAGAACTATGAAATAGCTCATCTGTATCAATTAAATATACGCGAAGACAATTTTCATAATGAAAACAGCGGCGGGTGCGACGAATAGTATGCCGGGATTTGCAAGTGTCAGATATCAACTACATCAGGAACGCTAATTTCCCGAAATACCTCGGGTTATGTTTATAGTCTACCGGGGTGCACGCTACGAGGTGCGTGTTTAGGTGGCGGATAGAACCGCCACTTGGGTGAATAACAAGGAATAGATAGACATGGCTCCACTGGATCATCCATAACCCAAATTGACTGTCATAAAAACTCCCCCATTGGAAGTTATTAGTCTAGACATCATTCCATGCACGCTCACGCGCTTCCATTGAGCACAAACCACATAGCGAGCCCGTCAAACCCGGGCAGTGCTGTTCTTCTCTGGTCTGGACAGTGAACAAAATCAAGTGCCCTGAAGATGGATGAATTTCTTAGATACAATAGTGTTGATAGGTA